AAAAAAAAAAAAAAAAAAAAAAAAAAACCAAAGCAATGACACAGGCATAGCCATATGTATATCACAGTTCCTAACAGCTAAATCTTGGAAGCTTAGGTGTCCATCAACAGAGGAATGGATAAAGAAAATGTGGTATTTATGTACAACAGAGTACTGCTCTACCACAGAGAAGGATAAACTTGAGCCACTTGTAGTGAATGCATGCACCTTGAGACCATAATGCTTCATGAAATAAATTAGACACACAGGCTTAAATATTACGTGTTTCCTTTACATGAGGAATCCATATATACAGCAAAATAAGAGATAGACAATAGGAAGTAGGACATCAGGTCTTTCTCAAATGGCGAGAGGATCAAGAGATGGAAGGACAGGGGAAGAAGAGGAAACAGAACTGAGATGCTTTGTTACACGTGCCCACTCCCCACAAGGAACGTGGTCATTGTGCACAGCAAACATGTGCTAATAAAAATAAAAAACATGTTTTTAAGAGTATGTCCTGCTGTGGTAGAAGAGGGACATTTCCCTACTCATAAAACTGTACTAATGATTGAGTTCCAATAGAGCTCATTAGCTGGTTTTTCTCATGCCACATTCATACCAAAAAGTCAGCGATGCCCACCAACAACAGTTGAGTTCTTTAACACTGGGAATCTTTTTGTTTTGTTTTGTTTTGTTTTGTTTTGTTTTGTTTTACATTTGCTCTTCTCAGAATTCTGTTTTCTCAAACAAAATGAACAGAAATTACAAATCCTTTTTTTTTTTTTTAGCTTTGCGATTTTAAAAAAATCTCACCATCTCTCTTACTTTCCTGTGTACTTAAATCTTTTTTAGTTCCACAGGCTAAAATCCAGTCCATCAGTTGGTTCCTCAGAGTAGAAGCTCAACATTCTAAAATGCTCCTGAGTCCCTGATGAGTCCAACCCAAATCTTTCACCAAGTGGGAGGTTGGGGGAGTGCAGGTGGAACTAGGGTGCAGGTAACTGTCATCATGTACAGAGACTTACTGATCAAAGTCCCCAAAGAAAAATAATGACTTGAGCTCATCATGCCATGAAGATGCTGATTCCCTTTACCTATTTGACTGCAGTCTTGCTCCTCAGGGAAGAGACTCAAAAGTGTTTTGAGGCTTAGTAAACTAAAAGATATCCTGCATCCCACAGAGAGATTTCTGATATTTGGGTTTTTCTTTAATCTTTGGATTTTTAAATTTTTTATTCTCTAATTTTTAATTAGTCCTTAATCTCTCAGAAACATCTGGTTGGTGCACTGAGATGGCAACTGAGACTGGACCTGGTGGCACATGTCTGGAATCCCAGCGCTTGGGAGGCTGAAAACAGGAGGACCACTATGAGTCCGATCTGTGTAGTGATACCCTGTAGACTCTGTACTAATTATATTTATTTATTTATTTTCATCTACCTATCTATTTATTTATTTTTGTGGCCATCTCAGCCCACCCTGGGGGTAGGGCTGGCATGGTATGTGGTGCCAGAGACTGAGTCGTGGTTCCTCAGCTTGCCTAAGCAGGCGCTTTAGTCCACTGAGCTATCTCGTCAGCCCTGCCTCCATTTCTTTACTAGGGAAAAATGAGGATAATAACCATGCCTATCTCCTAGGCTTGTGAGGGTTAAATAATTTATGTAAGCGACTTATGACAATGCCTTGCATGGATTAAAGTACGTCGTGATACCATGATAATGGTGATGACTATTAGTAGGAATTACTTATCTGACACTAGGGTAAGAAACAATACCAAAGGAAAAGAAATGACATTATTGCCACCAGTTTTATCCACGGATTATATTCCATGTGTCAGTCATTGGGACTGCTTACAAATAGTGTGGTTCATCTTTCCCAGCTGCATCCTTATCTGTCTTTAAATTAGATATGACAAATGTGACTTGCTTTGATCAATAAACTATGATCAGAAGTCACACATATGACACCTGGGTGGAAGCTGTAAGAGCTAGTGTACAGCATGATATTTGTTTTCTTACCAACTGGATAGATTTTCTGGGAACACATATTAGAGATGAAGTCTCCGTCAACGGGGTCCTGAATGACACAATGACCCAGAGACCTCTTTTGGCCCATATTTGGTACGTACATCGAGTCAGAAATACATTCTTATTACGGGAAACCATTATTATTTGAAAGTTATTGTTTTGACAGAATCCTACCAGATTAATCATGCTAACGCATATTGGTATTAGTGTTAGCATTAATGACTCAGATACTTGCAACAGGTGGTCACTATGAGACTTTTCAACGTAATAATAAATTAGTATATTTTTGGAAGAGTCTATTTTTTTTCCTTCTGTATTTAGTACAGGGTCTACAGGGTCTTACTACAATGATCGGACTCGTAGCGATTCTCCTATTTTCAGCCTCCCAAGTGTTGGGCTTACAAGTGCACGCCACCACGCCCAGTCTCAATTGCCATCTCAGCGCGACCCGGGCGGAGTCGGCACGGCACTCTGGGGATCAAACCCCGGGCCCTGCACTCGGCCTAATCAGGCGCTTTAGTCTGTCTGCTGAGCTATCAGGTCAGCCCGGAAGAACTGTATTTGATCTTACTGAAATAGTTACATTCGTGGCCCTCAAGTGAATTTCTATATTTTAAACATAGAATTGCTGTTAGCTGAAGAACAATTCTGTTTGTGTGTTGGTGCGCATGAGTGCACTCACACATGTGTGTTTCTAAAATAAAAATGGAGGTAATCTGAAAGAGGAATGGCAAGTTTGTATTTTTCATTGGCTTAAACCTTACCCTGAGCTCTAGAGCTTCAAAATCATTTACATTTTGCCCTACTGGGTTTGGGTGTAGAGCCCACAAACCACACTTTTAAAATTCTAAATGATCCCAAAAATGAACCCACGTGTACATTCTGGCTTCACTTGTGTCACTGTTTGACATCTGTGTTGGCAATAGACAAACAAGACACTTTCACTTGATGAAAATTATCAACTTGAATCAACCAAAACATTGTAGATGACCACCAGTTTCTCTATTTGTGTTTTCAAAAACGTGGCCACCTCAAAAGAGTTGAACCATTATCTAAGACCATTAACAAACCGTTCAGTTAAATACTGACAAGGAAAAACAACACTCCAAGCCTCCGTTGTTGCTCTTTAGACATCGTTTACCTGCCCTTTGCCTCTGCTGCGTTTTCTTCTCCTGGGACCACCTATGCACAGGGTTGGAAGAGGTCCTTCTTATTCCCCAGATGGGACAGCAGTAAGTTTCCTGACATGACAGGATCTCACAGAAAGTAATTTCGCATGCTTCTGAGGAGGTCTGTGTGGTGGCCGGAGATGTCTGAGGCCCTGTGGGGCATTCAGCAGAGAGGAGGGAAGCAGCGAGCTTAGCTGGAAGGCTGGTTTCTTGTAGTGACAGGTCCCAGGAAAGGCAGGCCGGGTTTGAGGGGAAGGCTGACTTTACCTGAGGTGGTGGTGGTGGGCGGCAGGACCAGCCCTAGCGAGCCTGTGATATTACTGGAGGAGGAGGGCAAGACACTTAGCAAAAGACATCTTCATGAACCCTCCCTATAAAAGGATCAAAAGATCCAAGTTCTCACCTTGGAGGAAGATTTTGAACATGCACATTCTTATCTTTTAAGCTCAGTATGTAAAGGAAGACTATAGTCGAGGCACTGTTGAGGAAAAACAAAAAAGATTATGTGACAGATTTGTTTCCAGATATATCACACCCATCCAGCTGGCCCAAGATGCATTCTCAGGGGCCACACAGATGGGGAGAGGGGGAAGGGCAGCGTAGCTGGCATAAACACCATGGAAACTGGCGCACTCAGGCTTTTCTGCTCTGGTGAGAAGAAGCCCTGGGCTCCCTGCGGCTTAGATGCTCCTGGGGAACTCTGTGCTGGTGGAGTTTTCCATGTAGCTGCCCCTGGCCTGGCAGGCTGTCTCAGAAGCATCTGTCACTAGTGGAAGATTACAAGAGGAAGCATGTAAATGGCTGGAGACAGCCCTCTGCTCCATGTGGGAATGAGCCAGGCCAGAGGTCAAATCCCACTGGTGGAGGTCGCCTGCACGGTGGCACTGGAAGACGAAAAGAGGCACCCACAGTGGATGCCAAACTCCTGGCCCCCTTCTCTGACATCTTCCAGCTGCCTGTCTTTTCAGAGCACAAGATGCCAAACTGGGCAGAGGAAAGGAAAAAAGGCAATGGATGAAGCACGCATTTCAACGCTGCATGACTTCAAAATAATGATGATGCCTTTCCCTCCAAGAATGTGTATTGCCAAATAGAGGCTTTAACAGCTTCTGGACTTTGAGGGGCTATGCCTCACAGTGCTCACGCAGTCCTACAGTTCCTGCTCTTGTCTTTAGAGCCCTCTCATGAGCTACACAAGCAGTTCTGTGCATTAGCATCTCATTGCGGGCTGGGCTCACAGGAGTCACTGGTGGACATCATGCCAGCTGGACCACACACCTGAAGCCCAACATCAGCTCCGCATCATTTTGTTCACCACCAAAAGCATGGATTTCCCATCATTAGGTACCCATAAAGAAATGTGACACACATTTAAATTCCACTTGTAAAGAATGAATTTCCAGGGTTCTTAGCAGCAGCAGATGACTGCCCAGCAGGCTCTGCCCTACGTGGGCAAGCGGTCCTGAGTCCAGAGAAGCATCAGGCAGCACACAGAGCATCTCCCAGCAACCTTTGCTGTGGTGCAGTCTTCTTTACTTGGTCCTCCTGCGTCTCCCGTCCTCCTCCAACTCCAATTTATGAATCCATAACTCCGTTTTCTGACTTGTGCTCGGCATCTGCCTCAGGGCATACCACGGAGCACTCTAGGCTAGTGATGGCGAGCACTTTAGAGACCCACGTCCACACTGCAACTCCACAGCCACTGATTTATCTCTAAGTCCAGCACTACAATTAAGCCTGAATACTGAGATTTTAGTTCAGCAACAACAACGTGCACACTTGTTGGGTGCCAGCAGGGAGGCTCTGTGTGCCAGCTGGGGCACCGCTGCCATAGATTTGCCACCACTGCTCTAGGTCTAAATGAAATGGAACATCTGCTCCCTTCTTTACAGCAAGCCCTAGTTTTGATTCCTCTTAGTTATACCACAGGCCAGAACCAGTATACTAAGCATAGTGCATCCCATTTTATTGTCTTAGTGGTCAACAATTTTGGGATTCAAAACAGCTGATAAACATCTTACAAAGCAGTCTCTTCACCTCAAATTCAACATCCTTTCACCATTCCATTGGGCGGGGTTTCTGTTATCTGGGGAAGGTAAAAAATGTCTGCTAGAACTGGAAGCTCACCCTTTTCTGCTTGGGAATTCCTGAGGAGAAGACAGATACTTAGAAGAGTGAAAAAAAGTACACGCTCCTGCTGGAAATTTATGGAGGGGCATCAAACACTTGGCCATTTTCCCATGGTGGGCAGCAGCGAGCCCCACTTGGAAGAGCTTATGTTTAAGCCCAGGGTTTAATTCTCAGCAACCCCTCCCCCACAAAGTGAAAGCACTGAGGGGAGAGAGGGGCCCAGAGACCTGCACTGCCTAATGTAACTGGAAAGCAGCTTCAAGTCGACAAACAGGAAGCACCTTGAGACCCCGACCAGCTCTCCCTAGAATAGAAGCCAGCCCTTTCCCACGATCACAAATGATTTTTCCTTTCATTGTATAAATCAACTGCAAACCTAGGAAAGAGTCTCCCAAAGTCCAGAGAAAACACAGGTGAGAGGGCCAGGGCTCAGAGACCGGGAGGTCACCGAAGCAGCAGCAGCAGGAGCCTGGAGGCCAGAGGTCTGAGAAGCACAAGGGATGAGCCCCTCCTCTCGGCAGTGGGGATAACTGGCAAAAGTCGCCTGACTTGCTTTCTGCTCTGCTTGGTTTAACTCCTGAGTACATCTGGCTACAATTTCACCACATTTGGTTGATTTTCCCCCATGTTGGTGTTCCTTTGGGATAAAGTCGTCACTAAAGAATCCAGAAGAGGGGCCGGGGAGATGGCTCAGAAGAGTAAGCGCTTGCCTGGCAAGTGCCAAGGGCCAAGAATCCTAGTAAGAGTGAGTGACCAAATAGAGCAGACTGCACCTGACCTCCTACTTATTCTTGTCCCTCAAGTGGACAGGAAGGAAAACAAAGAATTAGAGAGCATTATTGGCAAAGCTAAGAGAAACACAACACACGCACACTGCATAGTCGGGTCTTAAAACACAACTGTTGATTTTTTTAAAAAAAAATCCATCATTTCACATTTTAGTACAGAAAGCCTGATTTCTTTCCTCCAGAATAAGAGCTTTAAAGGCTCCAAGCCAGTGGTGGCAAACCTGCAGCACATGTGTGGCAGCAGACAAGCAGCCCTCCCTCTGGCATGCAGACCATGGTATGAGTTGTTTTTTTCTAAACTAAAACCATAGCATTCAGGTTTCACTATAGTGTTGGCATTTGGCAATCAGTGAGCGGGTTTGGGGCTTGCATTTTGGGTGCTTGGTCTCTAAAGGCTAGCCATCACTGCCCTAAGCCACACAAGGTCAATTCCTAATCTGAAGGGCTCTTTGTCTTAAGAGTAAAATAGATGCCAGGCCCAAGATTAAATGTGAGAGGAAGCAGAAGACAGGAAGGAAGAAAAGAGCTTGGTGTAGCGCACTGACGTCTCTCTTACCAGAAGGCCATCACAGTGATTAGAGTTGTAACCATGGTCTGGAAAATCCAGGTAGGACACAACAGTTTTCTTCCTGAAACATAAACCTGTAAGAAGGCTCATTAATGAAACATGACAACTCAGCACAGAGCTGCGAGAAGGGAGCCGGAGGTCTCTGTGGCCTCCCTCGCTGGGGGCCTCTGCTTGCCACCACATCCAGTTCTGCTTCTTCCGTTCATTTGCCTGAAACCCTGCAAGTCAATTACCATGGTCATTTCCTGTATCAGGCACTTATGCTTGAAGTTTTAGAAGACACTGCCAGAGGCCAGAGGCCCCTCTCTGAATAGTGTACTTTTGGAAATCTTTTGATTTGAATGCATAAATCCAGGTAAAAGAATTTCGGGCAACATAACAGGCCATGAAGAAGATTTATGGCATAAAATCTTACTAAGTCCTCCTAATAATGTCAGTATACCTATTTATAAAGGCAGCTCTGAGCCTGGGTCTTATTTATTCAACAATTCTTCTTTTTCAGAGCTACTACATACGACATTATAGGAGATAGGAAAATTAGTAAATTGTTACGGGGTAACTAGGAGCCACATTTAATAATACCTAAGTGGGCAACTAATATATGATGGGCACCTGTGGAGTTGGTAGATAATTCAGACAAAGAGGCTCTTTGATCATTTAAGGTGATTCTGAATCTAAGGATGCAGCTTAGACCACGCTTTCAATCAGAAGGATATGAGAAGAATGGTGGCAATTACAAAATGGCTTCAAAGGGGTTTTTAGTTGTATTTCTTAAGATTATTATCTTATTTTTTCAAAAAATTTTTCATTGCCAAAAGGAGGTAGGATTAATCACACACTTATGAAGAAGTACACAAACCCTTAGGGCTATTGTAACTGAATTATCAATAAATATCATGGAAAGACATCCTAAGCACCAAGAAGTAAATGGTTTGCCTCATCCCTACATCTCGCCAGAGCTATGAATTTCTATGAAATTCATTGAAATGATCGCAGTTAAATAGTATAGAGAATAAGTGCTTCCCCTTCCAACTTATACTTCACAACTATTAGATCATTTTAAATTTCTGCTATATTACTCAAAATCCTTTGACTAAGCCTAGGGAAGTGGCCTGGGGTCAGCCTTTGAGTAGGTCCTGAACAAATCATCTAAATGGCATTGGTCTTCATTTGCCAAACAGTGCAACGAGTGTACCTGCCCACTTTTCAGAGTTATCGAGTGGTCCAATTAATAGCCAGTTACTCTGAATAGGTCTCAAATTCAGACACACATAAGAACTGTGAAGTCTACTAAAAATCTAAAGATGTTGAAAAATTCTGTCTCAGTGGGTTTTATTGGAGTGGGTGAAGGCTGGAAATCTGTAAGGGGTGGGATGATGATGAGTACTGATCTACGCTCATTTCTTCCTTCCGCTTGTGTCCTCCACATGCTCTGAATTTGAACTTGAACTCTGAGGGTCTTCCCACTTCTCCCCACTGCTGTGATTCTTTAGCATGAATCAGCCACCTGCCTCTTGGAAGTGAAGGAACAGAGGGAAGAAAGAGCAACTGCATGAATACTAGAATAGGAGGCCTCAGTTTTCCTCTAGAATGTGTCCTGACCAGCACTGGGAGCCTTGTGGCAGTCAAGGCAGGTCCCGGCCAGGCTTCTTGCCACCTCACAAGGCCCACTGACTGCCCACAGCAAGCACTCTGCTCATTAGCAGCCCCCACTGACCCCTGCAGTACCACTCTCCACTGACACATAGCCATTTCCATGACCCAAGAACGCCTCACAGAGCCGAGGTCACCTAGTGGTTGATGGCAGTGCGGGAGGAGGAGTGAATCTCATAGAAAGATCTGAGATTTCCTACCAAGAAAAGCATAGGGGAGCAAAACACGCTCACTATTTGTAGTTTATCAGCTCCCTGGAAGATTCTACCAACGAGCAAATTAAAATAGTGAGCTTGAAACCATAACAGCGGCCAACATGTACCTAGCCTATGCTCTCTACTGAGTGCTTTACACAGACTGAGGAACACAAAAATCCCCCTCATCATCCTCAACAACCCTACAGTGAGGTGGGCAACTAATATATGATTTACCCTCTCTGCAATTTTACAGACAGAGAGAAGGAGGCACCAGAAGGTTAAATTCCTCACCCTAGATCATGCTGCTAGTAAGCTACAGAGATATAATTTGAGTTAAAATTCTTTGGCCCCACGATCTATGTCTCCAAATATAATGCTCTGCTGCCTCCTTTTTCCTATCTGTAAAAAAATGAAAGAAATGCAATAGAAAAGGTCTTCTCGGCTTGGCAAATGAACTCCCTAGCTGGTTGTCCAGGAGATCTGAGCCTAACATAGGTGTTCAGCCTTATCTTCACTATCCTTCCTGACTAACTTCCTCCTTATCCCTCAATGAAGCCAACTAATTCCACTAATTCCATGTACAGCATCCCCCCTGGTTTCGCTGCTGACTCGCCAAAGCACACTCTGCCTTTCAGACCAGACTCTTGCAAAACTCCTACAACACTAAGTCTCTGCAGCATTTATCAAATCCAGGTAAAACTATTCTTTGTGTTTTCTTTCCCAATGCTCTTAGCTGTCCTGTATTTTCTTAAGAGAAGAGATCACAGCTGATTCATGTTGGCCTCCTGTTGGCCCCTTCTAAAACCTGCAAAAGTTGAAGTTTAATGACTGCATAAATTCTGGACCCCGTGACTACATGCCAAATCCCACCTCACCCATGCTCCAAAACACTGAGCTACTCAAAGCTTTTAATTTAAATTTTGAACCTTCAGAGAATATCATCAGACTGGACTCTTTACTTAGGAATTCATTTGACAAGTATTTCTTGAGTGCCCACTACATGCAAGCCCCTGAGGGCATGCAGAGAAGAAGGCAGACCATGGCCTGCTTCGTGAGCATATATCCTGGTTAGCACCCTGAGGTAAGTGAAAGCAGAGAATTTTTATTTTCTTGGCATAAGGTACAAATAACAGAGATTAGAGATAACCAATTTATATCTGTCAGGGTTACTATGGATGTATAGATCATCCCACCATTCTAGTACAAATCGGTTAGTACAAAGAACATCCTTCCTATGCATATTTAGTATTTTTTTTTAGCAATATGTACAGACACTGTGCAAAGAGCTTTAGCAATCTTACCAATGATCTCTCTAAGGTAGAGACTATAATCTGTTTCATAATGTGGCTGAACTGCCCAGAACACTTCTACATATTTATTTATCCATTTATTTGTGTTTATTGGTACATCCAGAAGCTTTTCAGCAGAATAATATTTTATTAGTTTTTAGAAGAAGAATTTGGAGCTATTTCTGAATCCTCTTAGAATAGTTCAACGTAAGTAACAAGAAGAAAAGACACCAGGCCAGCCTTTAACCAGGCGCCAAATAAAGCCACGCATATTCTCTTGGGAAAGGCCGTGTTTGGGCCAGGGGTGGAGCAGAAGGGGCAAGCTGAGTTTCACAGCTCTCTGTAGGTTGCATTTAGGAAAGGACTATTACAGCTTCTTCCTGGATGGCATATCTCTGTGACAGAAAGGGCATTTTTCAAGTTGATAAACAATTAACTTTCACTTTTTACTGGAAATGGTAACCTACTCAACGCAAGCTGCTTTATTCACTGATGAAAACGTCCCATTTTATACTGTAAGGCAAGTGAGCATCTAGCCTCCTGTTTTATGTTTAGTAGTAAATAGAAAAGCAGATCTGAGGATGAACTTAAGTTTCACTGGGATTATCTGAAGCCAAAGATAAGGGATGGGGTAAAGTCAAATCATGCACATGCCTCCTGCAGCCCATGGCCATCTGAAAGTGGAAACTCTTGAATTTTAGCTGGTGGAGACAATATATACAAAAACTGGCAAGATAACATTTCTACAATGGACATATTATAGACCTTTTTCTCAAAATGTTTGCTATTTGAAAAAACTCATTAAAGGGTTAGTAGTTAAACTATGTACGGAGTGTGTGAGGATGAAAAACTGGGGAAATTTGCAACAAATAAACAGGGGATATTCTTGATTCAGTTCTCTAAAGACATTATTTTGCATAAAAAATATCATCTTTTCCTTATCAGTTGAAGTCTGCTTACCTTGTTGGGGTTTTTGGCGATAGCCCTTCTTGGAGAAGACGTACTGACAGCTCTACTAAGTTTGCTTTAAAAAGAGAGACGGAAAATTGAATACTATTTAGATGCCAGGAGTTATATGACAAAGGACTAGGCTGTCACAAACAGAGCAGTATGATTTTTTTTTTTTTTGTCATAGAGTGATAATTTGAAAAAAGAAAAGTCAAAGCAATTGGGAGCTCTCTGTGTGGGGGAAAAATGTTAGAAAGCATAAAAGAATGCACTAAGCATTACATTTTTCCTTTTCTTGGAACTAGACCCCAGGAAATACATACATACTTCCTTAATTAATGAAAACAAATAATGAGCTGTTCCCCCCTGAGAATATGGTGTTCTAAATTAAGAAATAACTACTTCTCCTCATGAAAAGAGAAGGCATTCTTTTGCTAACATTGAGCTCTTCCTCGTATAACAACCACTATTAAAATGATGCCTCATGTTTTGTTTTTAAAGAAGCAGCAGAAATAAATTAAGTAAATTATCACACGAGGCAATTATGTTCTAAAAATATTCTAAGAGAAACAAAGGGATTTCGTTACCAGGTAGACCAGTTAGTCTGACCTAGTTATGCAAGGGGCCCACTCTTTCTTCCTCCGATTTCCATGAACACACTGCAGGTACCTGATTGTACTTGCTTGACTGGCAGAGGACTTGGAACTACTGAGCCCCTTTAGCCTGGCCAGCTTCCTATTCCAGATCTCTAATTCTTCTATTCTTTCTTCAAGGTTGTTGGTTAGTTTGCAGAGTTGCTTCACAGCCCCTACATTTTCCATGAAGATTTGGTCCTAAAAAAGAAAAACAAGTAGAAAGTACATAAATTTAGAGTTTGAAGCTACCAGGGAACTTTCTATATCCTGCCGGAAGATAAGAGCGCATCACTGATAATGATTATACACTTAAAACTTCAAGTGCATCCAGGATAAATCTGGAGAAGTTGGAAACTTGAAGCAGTCTTGCTAAACCGCTGGCTGTGTAGTAAAACCGCTTCTGTTCCAATTACAATAAAATGGAAATACGTCCTTGTAATTTAAGAGAGTGAGTGGGGCTGAAGGATGCTATTGAACTTGGAATCCAAAGATTTATTTTCAATGGTCATTATGCTATATTTAAAACTCATAAAAAGAAAGATACAACAGACTTCTGAATGTTGATTTCAGTGTGCTCATCACTAAAACTTCATTTAAAAAATGATCCCAGCTTTCCCTGATAAAATTATGCTTCAAACTGTACAAGTGAAAGAGGAAGACATGAAGATGTGGGCTTTTCTCTGAGTTATGCAAGCTACTAGACACGAGGCCTTGAGAAAACGTGAAGGAAGCCCTTTAAACTTAAGTTTCTTCATCTAGAAGTGAGACAGCAATTTTTTTTTTTTTTTTTTTTTTGGTCGGAA